ATAGAACTCTGTACTGAAAATACCGAACAGACGAACGAGAAAAAGATGAAGGAACAGAAGAACGTAGGTTTTTTTCTTTATTCAACCGTAAAGCATGATTATGTGAATGTATGAATGAGTGACTGAATACAGAGCTAGAGGCGCTGTGAGCGAGCATTCTGAAAGTAGTGTTGGGAGGACCGGGTGAGGGAGCTAGAGCCAAAGAGTAAGCAGAAAACAGAAAGAACAACTGAGTGATAGGAATGAGATGAGGGAAGTGAGAACGACCGGTGTCTTGGTATCGAGATAGGCTCAGCAGGACGGTGCAAAGTGAGGACAAGGAGGCCGGCAGACGAATATACGCGAGAGGGTATGTGCGAAGGACACAGTGGGTTACACGGATGATAAATTGAGGTAAGACGGAAGATGCAACCATCTGGCGTGTAGGAAAAGTAGTAGAGATAGAGAGCGGTACTAAATCCGGTTCAATTCAACAAATTCGTCACCGGAAGAGCCACGATTGATCAAGCATGCCAGGGGCACGGACCCCGGTTGATGGGAGAAGCAGGGAGAAGACGGTACGCGACAGATGGATCGAGTCAGAGAATGCCGCATTCCGAGGACATAAGAAAATGGTAGAGAGAGCGAGGAAAAAAACCCGCACAGAGGAAGTGAGTGAGCATCGCCCGGGAACAAACAGCTACAAATTACCTCACATATATGACGAGGTGAAGGGTAACGGAGAACGAGAAGCATTAGCTGAGAAGAAAAAAACAAAACATAAGATTTACAGGTGAACATGATCAATCCAGAGACATACTAATGCACGAGCTGAACGGTCAGTTTACATTTGTCGTCAGCAAAAATCGCAGTGGATTGAAATACCATAGAAAAACAACAGAACCAGGGTGTAAAGAGGACAATGGTCGTTTTAGGTTTATTCCTAAAGAACAGAAAACAAGTGTTGCTTCTGTTGATTTGAAGGTACGAACAGAACGAATAAAAGCCGAGTAGATGAGCGAGGGGAAGTAATAGGGTGAAAGTACAGAGAGGAGAAGAGTCAACGCCAGAGAACGATAAACCTGAGCATAAGTTCCTGAAACTCGGAAACAACAAAAAGACTATACGGGCGGGTGGAAGGTTCACTGGAGAAAAACCAAGAGGCGTACTAGTTGCAACCGGCGATCCTGCGAATAAATCGATTCGAGAATTGGATTGAACATTGCCAAAGGTAGGGGGCGCAGTAAAAACCGNAAAAACCGGCACTTGCGTGGAGATCAATATATGAAAGTAGGCAAATGTTTACGAAGGTGGAGATACGATATTGTTTTATGTATGTGCCAATGGATAAGTGTATACATGAAGAGAACGAGAACGGTTGAGGATGTGTGGGAAGTTGTCGCACGTGTAAATGGGCACTACACTGCGTCTCGTGCTACACGAAACTCGAGAATGAAATCACGGACGAATTAGGATTGGCAGTCAAATCATATACAACTCCCTGATACAGATCGAGGTAAAGAAATCCTGTAGTTTAGAGCAAAGCAAGATAAACAGACCGAACTCAAAGTGAGATGGTCGACGATGGGCTTGATTCACATAAGTGAGAGTTCAAAGGATCCGGTGGAGGGACGGAGTAAGAAACCGCACGAAGACTCACAACGGCGCTTTCAGTGAACGAAAGAGGTAAATCAACAAAGTAGTTACCAATGCAGATAAGTCCAAACAACAGAAGAGAATGAACAAATGGTTAGTTGAACTGGTATGATGCAAGTTCGGATGAGGCCCCTCACCTTGACGCGGGGTGGAGCTTAAGAACTGAATACCCGGATTCGACTGAGAATTGTAAGCAGTACAAAGAAACAAAATTTTGAAGGATAAGATAAAAGAAGGAAAGTTCAGAACGGAGGCAAGTCAACCAGTCGCCTAGAAAAGGTGACTGAGACGTATCCCGAGACAAAGAAAACCTCCAAAAGGGATCATAACATTGCGACTTATCCTGTAAAGGGTGTATAATGGCGCAGAGAAAAGCACATGCGGCTGGCGCGTGGAGTATCTAGCGGGGAAAGTGGCAATGTGTATCGGGAAAAAAACCACAGAAATAGGAGCAACGAGACAAAATGCCCGCGTTGTGTTCTAATGGGTACTTATATACTTCCTGTTGCCACGGGCCACAAACAATGGGTGAAGGGAGGTGGGATGAGAACTGAAGTGAAATAAGGAGTAGTCGTAGAGTGTTGGCTGAAAATGAAAAGCATACCATGGACTCTGGGCTAGAGAAATCACGGTTACAGAAAGTAGGAAAAGAGATGTTCGACAAAACCAAACCGATAAACCACATAGATGTGGTTATGGTGACAGAAGTGGGGAAAGAACCGAGTCCATCAGAAGTAGCAATAGTAGGTAAGATGTTCAAAAGAGGAGCATCAAGGATTGCGCGTGATGAAGTTCAACTGAGCACGAGATGATTATTGCTAATCAACAGGAACATGAAAATCAAAAGGGTACGATAAAGTAACTGGATTTGCAACGCTTTGGGGCCTTTCTTCAGTAGCATTCAGATCACCGGAACCAACCGACTTCATGATAGAACAGTGATGCGCACGCGACGGTTAATTCGCTCATGCGTATATCAATCCGGACACGTAACACCTGCGAATCGGCATATGACGCGACAGACAACATAATTGAGTCACATAACGTTTGGCCGGAAAAACGAAAATTATTCCGCACTGCAAGTAACAATCGACAAGCAGTTTTGCGTCTGTGCACGCATGCACGTTGGTGGCTTAAAAGCGCGTTGAACATTGATTGAAATCCGGAAAATCTCCTATCAACCAACAGAAAACGACAAGTGCATGCAAATCCGAAGGGGAAAAAGGGACGTACAGAACACGGATAAACTCGACGAGCGATTATTTGATACAAGCAACAGAGATGAAGTCAAACACTGAACTGAGCTGTTCCGGTTGTAACAGCCTCTTGATGTGCATTTAGCACTCCATCGTCCATTGGAATGTGCCTATGTTTGTGGCCTCGGTTTTTCGTGAACTGTTGCTGACGCTGCACCCGGAACAATGAAACAAGATTCCTGCTACAGCGACCACCGGACGAAAGTATTTAGCAGTAGACGTCAAAAGAGGCAGTAGTTGATAACCAAAGGGCAAGTTCACGCAGTGAAGGCCGTAAGAGAAAGTAAAATTGATCGTATCAGTTCAAATTTAAGTGCCGTAAGTCATTCTCGGAACGATGCTATCAGCATATCCAGGAATATTTGAAAATAGCAAGGAAAACTAAGAAAAGAGGAGCGAAGCAGTATCAAGGACCAAGCCTATCAAATGGATACGAAGCTGTTGAGTTTTCTACACGAGACTGTGGAGGCCATGATCGGCGATGAAAAGGCTGGTGAGGGGACCGAACGGAAACAGGATTAGACCAAGGTGAGGAATCAATTCATCTCCAGTGCGGTTATTTGTAGGAGTAGCGAATAACTGTCCCGGGAAGGAAGGTTCAGTTCCCCGGCTTCGTTGTGCGTAAATATGGAAAAAAAACAAATGTGTGTACCGATAATAAACGAACAAACTGTTGTGTCTCTAACGGCGAGTGGTGGGGTAGAGATTGGACAATTTGAGGGGGTACGTGTGCATCCTGGGACCGGGAAGTTGGTAGGCGGAGTTGCACGGGGTTTTATACCTGAGCGATTTGGATTCAGAATGAGGTTGCACCGTTTTTCATTGTGTACATGCATGTAACTCGAAGGACTTAAAGTACATGCCATTGGGATGAAAGTTAGTAGAAAAAACCCTATGGCATAAATGCGTCACTGAATCTCCAGGTAAGTGACGCGTTCAAACGAGGCTGAGAGCAAACAGAGGGAGGATAGTGAGGTCAACCGAACTCGTAACGAGTTGGAAGACTCAGGCACCTGGGATACCCGAGCAGTGAACAACATAAGCAAATAACACCCAATAC